CCTAAACAGCTAAATCTGGCTAATGCGTTGAGTTCGCTGGAGGGTTTAGCATGAATGAATGAGCATTCTGGTCACAGACACTGAAAACTTCATTGAAAAACGAATACCTTTAAATTACACAAACTCGAGAGGAGGATTCTGCTTAATCTCATCAGAAATATTCTGCTTTACCAGCAGGTGTAAGACATCAACACACACATTTCAAAATAATCAGGTAGTCATCAGAAAGGACTTAGTCTTCCTACAGTATATACCTGAAGGTAATAATAGATTATAGGCTTGTCTTGCTTGAGTCTACTCACTTAAGTATCTTTTCGGTTTCAAGGTTTCTAAGCTTATCTATAATCTAAATTTAGTAAACTCTTCCAGTATCCTAATGGCATGGTCCCTCACCTGAGTTTATTCCCTAGGCTTATGTCATCAAGGAGAGGTGTTGATATTGTTGAATGTGTATTTTGCAACAAAGGCTAATTAAAAGAAAGAGACCTGGGATTAGAAGTTAACTAACCTGATGTCAACACCCAGTTCTGTTACCAGTTGTGGGTTTGAAAAGTCACTTTACTCTCCAAGTCTTGATTTCCTAAAACATAGCCTGGGCATTACAGCACCCGGTTCCCTTCTCCTTTTCTCCTGTGTTAATCGGCAAAATGCATAACTTTCAATGCATCTTCCTACTGTGGTAGAAATTTAAGGTGATTCTTATGGATCTTAAACACAAGATGATAGTGTATTTGCTTACTTAATATACTCAGCAACTAATTAGTGTTCCATACTAGAAGCTGTAACCAAGAATAACTCCAGCTCTGAAGAGAAGAGAATCATAAGACTTTTTTTTATTAGTAATGAAGCAGAGAGTGCCAGCAAATATCCCTGTACTGAATTTCAATTGTACATGATACAGTGCTTCAAAAAATTGTCATTAAGTTTATCTGTGATAAAGCAAATGACACCACATACTTGTAATAGGGCTATTGTTGTCATCGCCTGGGGTCCATGACAGCTGAACACTTTTGTCGAGTTGATCTGTCAATTCTAAATCAAAGGGAGGACTTGGGACATCTGTAGACCAAACACACACATCATAATTAACCATTCATCCTCACGAGGTTCTTCTTTACTTGTGATACTATTTACAGAGGGGACATATTAAAGACACAGCACACTGAGTGGTCAATGAGCATGCAAATGAAATGAAATGGAAACTGCTGAGGCTGCTGGGAACACCCAAGCACACCCAAGACAACCCGTCAATGAGTTCTGCTTGCTTCTTTTTCAAATGAAACTAAATTACTTGTAACGAATACCAGTGAAGTGGGTGTGGATGGTTCACCAGCACTCTCAGTGCGTGTCTTCTCATAAACATGAATGAGTACAGACAAAAAAAATAATGAAGCTTAATTTCTAATAAATGAGAAACATAGAAGAGTAAATACTGAAAAACAAATACAGGCAAATACATGTATTGTTTAAAGAAGACTCAAATGTTCTTTCTGAAACATGCTAAATTATGGATTTGGGCACTCCTGAATATTCATATTTTTAAGGGAATTCTAAAATTGATGCTATACAGGTAGCTCTCAGCATGCATCCTTAGGTGATGCTCAGTACAACAGTCAGTCAGGCACATGGGGAGGTGTGTTTATTCTCAGAGGACACCAAATACAGATACCATTTAGGATGGAAGTGTCCCAGAAGCATGTCCACCTCTTCTAATGGTGCTTCCAAGACCCAGAGAGTTAATGTTCTTCCCTGGGCCTTTTCCTCACCTTGCTCTTGGGGGGTAAGTGTGGCTCTTGGGGGGACCAGAGGCCATATAAAAATATAGGCACTTTTTTCCTATCAGTAAAGAAGCAATAAATGCCTACAAAGGCTAGGTCCTCTATAGCATACTTAATGATACTATGTAAAACCCAGCTGAGTTTACGCCACAAAATTAATTTGTGTATTTAGATGCTGAATAAAGATGAGGGTTCTTTAATAAAAAAATTTCTGGAAATAATTTCGGATTTATTTTCCAGACTCAGAAAAGTCACACAAACTGGAAGTGCCCTCCTTTTGGTCTTTCTACAGTGGTTTATTTTTTGTTAACACATAGTGAGTTGGTTTTAGCTGATACAAAGGTCAAATGTTGTTCTAAATATCCATTGCTTTCTTATGTACATTTCTTGAAAATGGGACCCCAAAACAACATTTATTTTTCCAAAACAACTATTAATAGACTGAAATAAAAATCTAATTTGTGGACTGATATTTGAAATACATGTTTCATTCTGTAAAATGTAGATGATAGCTTTTAAAAAAACACTATGCTACTTTATAAGGGCATTATATCAAAGAGGGACTCTTATCAAATGAAATGACTTTATAAACACATGAAACATTTAGAAAAGAGTGGCAATATAGTCAGTGAAAAGTTCCAGAGTTATAATGAAAAAATGGTTTACAGCCGTAAAGGAGAAACACAACAGAACATATGACAGAGACCCTTTCCTTAAAGAAACACAATGATGTGACAGAGAAAAGAAAGTAATTAATTTCTGTAAATGTGAAATTGTTTGACAGAATATAGAGAAATAAGACTCATTAGTTTACCGTAAGTGGGAGCTGGAGTTGGAGTAGGAGCTAGAAATGACATTAATATAAAGGATTTTAATCACAATTAGTAATGGAAAGATATAAGATAGCACAAGAAGACAAAGATTGAACATGATTAAGATTATAAAACTAAGATATTAAAACTTAGCTGTGAGACATGGCATTGATAAACATGCGGTAACAATTTAGGGAGAAAAAACTTCAAATTTTAACTAAAAGTAGATTATTTTTCCCAGTTTTCTTATAAAAATATTGTTAATATGCATAACTGACATTTTAGTCCAGTGCTGCAACAGAGTATATGTATACTGAAATTATCGCCTCATAGGCATCTTTCAAATAAGAAAAATGTGGGTGTTTAACTCACCTATAAAATTGTAAAACTATAACAAACAAACAGTTACTATTGACAGTTTCCCTTTCAGCCTAACACAGGGCAGCTGGTTGTGCTGTGTGCATTCCAGTTCTTACCCACAACGCCAAGCACAGCACTGGCAGACACGGTGTCCAGCGTGGTGTTGGCCACACAGGTGTAGGTCCCGCCATCATCGTCACCCACATCAGCTACCACCAAATGATCCTTGTCAACAGTGAATCTGTGAATAAAATACATTCAGAGCAAATGAAGTGGACATCCAAGCACACCTGATGATTGCTTTACTGGTGTGACAGAAACTGTTAACTTGATAAAAGAGAAAGATGACAAAGATTTGCAGTACATTAGAGCTAAAATCTTATACACTACATATCACTTTGATAATGATTAAAGTTGGAAAACAATCAGAATGAATTAGAACCTTGGGTTAGGAGGGCTTGTCAAGTTATCTGGTCTGATGGTGGCCAACCACGCCCCTGGAGTTTTAAAAACTTCCTTAGAGATCAGGGCCATCCAGAGGTGAGGTGGGCAGCTCCAGTTACCTCACTAGAGGGCGATCCTACAGCTTCTACTGCTAAGAAACATTTGCACACCATTCAGCCAGCTTACTTCTAAAAATGTATATATTTTAAAATAATTTACCATGTACTGCAGAAATTTTGTGTCACTCTGCCACGTATATAAGCTGTCATAGGATTAAGTAAATGCACTAGAAAGTATCACTAGAAACAGAAAGATTTATGTCAGCAATCACCAGTAAGAGTTCTCCAGAGGTTACTTGTGGGCATGAAAAATTACTCGGTAGGTCAGAAATTCACGTAAATAGGATTCATGCAAGGTTTTAACAAGGCTGCATAAATCATTAACTGTCTTCACAGGGAACTTCTAAGTTAAAGCTTTAGCCGACTTAACCCAAAGGTCATTTCTTCCTATTTTCTTCTCATCTTTATCAACTCAATCTCCCCAAATACAACTGAACAGCTGAAGCATAGGACTACTGGGTTGTCGGAAAAGTCATGACGTAATTTTTCTACGTTTTTCGTTGAAAAATGGGTCATGACTTTCCGACAACCCCATAGATGGAAACTCTGGGCACCTGGAGGAAAAGGCCACACAGTTCTCTCAGAGGCCATTAACAAGCCACAGGGCACCATTTAGGTATGTGGCAAGCAAACCACAGTAACCACAAGCATACAGCATTCCTTCCAACAGGGGGCGATGCCTGTAGCCGCACTCAACTAAAATTCACACCTTCAACTCTGTACTTTGTCAAATTGAAGGCCCCACCTGAAAAACAGGTACCACCTTTCTTCCATTCCAAGGTAACGGGCTGCCGCATGCTCAGGCTCTTTCAAATGCTTTTTAAAATTCCTTTTCCTTCTCTTTATATTGGCTTTAAGTACAATCAAAAGAAAACTCCCTATCCAAATAAAAACCGGTGTCCTTTACAATACTGACAAGGATTCAGGCGCACTCTGGAGATTAAAGAGATCCTATTTCTGCATATTTGTAGAATGGTAATGAAAACATCTGAGACTTCACCGCACAAGGCAGAAAACAATGGACGTCGCCCAAGGCCCAAAAGGTTTTTCCTATCCTGAATTACACAGGAGACCAACACACAATGATAGACAAATATTCTCAGGGTCTTATTTCAATAACTGGATACCTTTTTAGGTACGAACATTTCACAGCAGGGAGGAAACGCATATCTATTTTGGAGAGAGCAGACTTCAGAAACTTTAAAAACATCAAGGTTAAGTCATTATACAATAAACCTTTAGTTCAATAGCAGCTTAAAGAGAGAAGGAAGAGAAAGGAACAAAATCATCTTCAAATACCTTCCGTCACTGGGCAGCTCACGGTCATCCTTCAGCCACGTGACAGTGGCGAGTAAGGTGTGGTCGTGTTTCACTTTGCATTCAAACGACACTGTGCTCCCCCTCTGCACAACAGCATATTCAGGCTGTTTAATGATCCTAGTGGGATCTGAATTTTAAAGTTATTGTTATTCATTGCCAAAGCTGGAGAATTTGCTCAAAGTCACATTGTTCTTGAAAAAAATTCCGCCACCTCTGCCTTACCTTTGATTTCTAAGTTAACTTCATTATTTGCCATTCCTAACTTATTCCTTGCAACACATGTATAAGTCCCTGTACTCTCCTTTTGGGCCACAGGAATTCCCAAAGTTCCATTTTCATGAAAAACATAAATATCTTCACTAAGAGCACCACCTTCAGCTCCTTTGAACCTTCATCATGGAAATAATCACAAGGAGAAATAGAACACATCATAATTGGAAGTCAGACATGAAATGCCACGTTCAAGGTCAATACACCATGATCTGCATTACAGCGTCCAGTTCAGAAATGTGTGGAATCTGCACAAGAATAGTGCATGCCTGTAAGTTAGTGGAGTGAATGTAAAGACAGGATGTAAAACTGGAGGATTCAATGATACACGACGCACGAAGAATTAGGGTGACAGTACAAAGTATTTAAATTTTAATTTTCATTACGAGAGCTTCGTAATTTAAGAAACACATTACATAATTCAATCTCTAAATAAGTGATAAAGTAGGCAAAATGAAGGCTGCTCTTTTTGACATTTCCTCCTTACTGTGCTGCATTTGTAACTCCATCTGAAGGCGACAGTTCTAAAGAGATTTTGATTTCAAGATTACAAGGGTTGTATTTTTGAAAGTATCAATGAGAAAATATTCAGGGAAGGAAAAAAAATAAAGCATGTATGTAAAGCATGTGTACTTTCAGCTACCTGGTTAGTGTCAGAAGTGAGGATGGATGAACAGGATTGAGGCTAAATCAACCTGGACTGAGTGTTAACCTGCCCCTTTCACTAGGTAGTCATCTGCACGGAGCAGCCACGCTTCCCTTCTCTGTAGTTGAAGTGGAGTCCTGGGGACATCATCCTTTAGTCCTATGCCCGTCTTTAATCTTACGTCAGTAGGTAGAGCCCTGCACAGTGTCTGGCATCTGATAGGCGATCAACACATGAATGTTCCAGTTGTCTTTCACTCATTCTTTCTGAGCTGTCGCCTGTGCTAGCCTGGGTTCTTCCAGCTCATGCTAAATAAAGTAAGCAAGCTAGGAGGATGGATAGAGCTTAATCAGGAGTGTTATATGAAAGAGGGTGTTTTAAAGTGGGGAGGAGAAGGACACAGGAGAGCTTGGCTGGATCTGAGTCAGGAGGTTCAGGTGGGCGAGGTACTAAAGATAAACACTGGTAATAACAGATTCTGGTCTTCAGTTTATCGAACCTCTTCCCCACCCCAGATGATTTTTTATTATCAAGGAATGCCCCCCAACCAATCCCTGCAGCTAACATTCATGAGGTCCCAGGTGACGTCCACGGCATTGTAAAGCACAGCAACCTTAAGTTTCTCCAAAAATAATTACATCTCTGTGGTGCACAAAGTGTATTGCTAGATAGATTGTACATGTGAAAGTATTTAGCACAGAGCAAGTAATTGATAAATACAGAGGGTGCCAAAAAATGTATACACATTTTAAGAAAGGAAAAAGCTGTATTAAAATCGTAATACTCAATATATACTGATAACAAAAGATGAATACAAGTCACGTGTATACATTTTTTTGGCACCCCCGGTATTTGTGAATAAAGTTAATTAATACGATGGATTCTACGCTGCCTTTTCTCTACTTGTTCTCTGACTAAAACCCAACATATTGAGTAATTTGAAGGCTTTCGTGGATGTAACTACTAAAAAGAAATAGGACCAATACTTACCACTCAATTGTGGGTAGAGGAGACCCAAAGAAGACACAGTCTAGTAGAGCAGGCCTGTCTGCAATGACCTGATAGAGTGTGTTTGCAGGTGTAAGGATTCGTGGTGGCTCAGCTGAAAACATTTAAAATATATAAAGTAAATATTAAAATCAAATAGACATTTAGGCCCGCTGTGTGTTTTACTGCATTTTGCTTGAAGGCCATTAGAGTTTATGGTAAAGCACAATCAGCATGTCTCTGCCTTATGTTCTCTACAGGTGTGACACTACCAGTCACTCAAGGTGGAAAAATACAAGTCTTCTCCCTGTGCCGCGTGCCCCACCTCCTGCTCAGGCGCAGTATTTTAATAACTGATTTATTTATGTGTCTCCTCCTACACTGTGAGTCCCTGGAGGGCAGGGAGTGAGACGTGTATTGCTTTCTCCCCAGAAACTCGCACAGTATTTGGCACAAAAATCATGGGTAAGTACATTTTGGCAGACTGGCTGGCCCATTACATCCCCAGGGTTTTGATGATGGAGATGGGTGGGTGGGAGTGATGGGAACACACAAGCCAGCAGAAAAACCCAGACTGCTGATGACGAAAAATCAGATCCAGAAAGAAAAACTGCTTCTTAAACATCCACCAATATCTTAACTGCTCAGCTCTCTTCTTTTGATTTACTGACCTTCATTTTTAGCACAAAGGAAAAATACCAAGTATTGGTTAGCTTCCTAACTTTAATTTTGTTTGAAAGGGAGCCAACTACATTTAAAGAGTTGAAATATAATTCCCTGGTACCACAAAAACAATTCTCACATAAACTTTGAACAAATTTGGTATTTTGGTAGCTTTGTTCATTATAAGAAATACAGTATTCACATATACTATTTCAGAAAATCTTTGAGTACATCATAGCTTTCTAAGCACATTATTATGAAGTAATAAAGAAATGCACATCTGGGATTTGGATAAAGGCCAAACATTATGATTAATGATTTATTTTCAAAAAATTAGAATCATGAAACTGTTAAATTTGTCAGTTTCTAAGGATGGAACAGCAGTAACATTCCGTTACTAACGGCAGACCAGTGCTCTTCTCCTGTTGAAGGCTGTGCCACTTAATCTACCTACCTGTGAATGGAGCAGCCTGACTATTTGATTATTTCTACAGGGAAGAATGTTCCATTATAAAAAACTGTGTTATGAAGGAATGTTAAGAACAGGGTTTTAGGGCAAGCTTTGTATCTGATTCATCTTCCCTCATCCCTTACAGCTCCAAGTGCTGTGCTTTGCACACAGCAGATGCTCTATACATTTTTGCTGAATGAATGGAAAAGAACAGAAGTCATTAATTTAATTTGCCATGTCTTTAATAAACGAAGAGCTTACCCAGCACATTTACAAATGCATTTGCCAGTAAATATCCATATTCGTTAGAGGCATTGCACTGGTAGACGGCACTGGATCTTTCTTGAACATTTGAAAAAATGATGGTGTCGCCATCTATTTTTCTGCTGGGGTCATCAGGGGCAACTGTTTGGGTGTAAAAATAAAAAAATATATATTTATTCTTCTTTGCTTAGAAGATGTAAAGCTTGAGGTCTACATTATAGTAAGTAGAAGAGAAACACACACTGATTTAGGTATATCCAGTAAGAAGGACAATACCAAGAACCCAGGCAGAAGCCATAATTTTTATTCTTCAGAATTTAGTTATCACTTATCAGCCTAGGTGTATACTCGATATTCATTTATTCTTAAGTGGATTGAGTCTGTATGACTGAATATTATTTTGAGGGATGCAGGAACAGAAAAGCACAAGTTCAGTGAAAATGGCAATATAAATTCAGGAAAACATTGCCTTGTTCACATAGAAACTGTGGTTATTTATGAGGAGGAAAGTTAATTATCAAGAGCAGACAGTAAAAGCTAGTCAAAAAATATACAAACCCTCTACCTCATTCAAATCTGTATTTTAAGATTCTTTTATTGATCTAACCAGATAAATAAATCAGTAAATAAATAAATATAGTCCTAATAATCAAATGTGAAAATATTTATTTTCCTGCTTTGAAAATTCCTGAGGGTGATATAGAAATAAATTGTGTAAAATTTCTCTTAAAGGTACTTAAAATTTCTCAAGTACTTTAAAAAAATGTTAAGACCGGGATTGGTCCTTATTTAAGTGGAATGGAACTGGACGGGTAACATAATATGTGAGAATTTGGTCCAGGGCATGCCCAACAATTTGGAAGTGCTACTGGAGATAAATTCCTTTTTGTGAATACTAAACCTGAGGCTGTGACCTTACATTGCTTTAAAAGTACACTAAAGGGGATACTGGTATGTGTCTGGGCCTGCTGATCAAAATCAAAGCTAAATACCAGCACTCTTTCTCTTAAACTGCTCTTGCAACTTGAACCACTTAAGTAGACTTAACTTTCATTCTAAACAACATCTTTTCTCTATTTTATTTATTTATTTTATTTTTTTATTAGTTTCAGGTGTACAGTGCAGTGGTTAGCATGTATATAATCTATGAAATGTTCACCTCAGTAAATCCAATACCCATCTTATACCCCACATAATCTTTACATTATTGATTATATTGCCCATACCGTATTTCACATCTCCATGACTATACTTTGACTACCAGTTTGTACTTTCTAATCCCTGCACCTTCTCCCCCCATCCCCACCCCTGCTATGGGGTACAATTAAAGGTCTCCAAGTGTTAGGCTCTCCTGCTGCCTCCTAGGACAGAGGTCAGGGGACAGGAACCATGGTGTCCATGGCCTTGGCCTGGGACACTTCCTGTCTGGTCCTGGGTTCTACTTCCGCCTCTTCCCAGACACCGCAGGTCACGTAGTAAAATCAGATCTTTTTGGCACCAGCTCTCTGCAACTCTGCTCTTTTTTTCCTGACTTCTGCGGGTTGTTTAAACAATAGTTTACATGGTTTTGGGAAAATTCCATATTTAATACAGTCTTTTTTTTTTTTCTTCAAGAAAAGTTTCAAGTAACCTGGCCAGTCCTGTGGGACATTCAGATTAGAGCCCAGGCAGTTTCTGAGTTAGTTCCCCTAGCTTTATAAAGCAGCAGGTTCCAGGTCTGAAACGCACAGTCACAAATCAATAATGCTGTACTCTGCTAACAACACCGCAGTTGTACCCCTCTCTCTCCCTGATCCTTCTCCTTTCATAGCACTACGTGCCTTTGGCAGCCAGAGCCTACAGAGGTGGGAGGAGTGTCAGTGACCACAAGTCAGGAATGGGGATGCTATGTATCTGGTAGTATGGCCTCCTTACAGTGTCTCTGCTGTGTGGCACCTGCCGGGGACATGTGGCATCTGGCGGGGATACAGCAGAGGCACAGCTGTCCCCTGCCTCACCTACAGCAGCTGGTCCACCCAAGGTTTCTGCAGCCTCTTAGGTGGAAGGTGTTGTCAGCAGCCAGCTTGTGCTGCCAGCTTCCTTCCGGGGTGCAGCCTAGGCCCCCGCGAAGGTGGGGGTCCTTACCATGCCAGTGCTGTGCGGCCATATGCTGGAGCAGGCTTTGCTCGTTCCTGCCCCCCTCTGCCTCTCTGTCATCCTTCCCACCAGACCCACCATCGCTGGATGCCGCATGGGGGGCACGACTCAGCAAATGCAGACGAGAAACAAGCCCCAGTCCCCTGGTTCCAGAACGGTCCCGATCTTCGAAGGCAATTCTGTTTAGGGGCCTCCAAGTTCGTGGGGCAACTATCAAGCAGGGTAGAAAGGGGAGAGGCACAGGGCTCCTTGAACGTTTAGCAATGTTTTGACAGTTTTCTTCTCACTTACTCCTTATGTTGGATAAGGGGGAGTCCACACATGTAGGGTTCATTTTGAACTTAGCTGTTTATGACTTAGTGTGTAGCCAAGAGGCCACTCAGGAAAAGCTGTAGATGGACCAGCTGGTGAGGCCGAGGGTGGAGAGCAGTGGTATCTTGCAGTTTTATTGTGCGGAGAGCGATGGGGGGCCCCATCAGGTGCCTCAGACTCATCACCCCTTGGTTATGAGACTGGATTCCAAGTAGCAATCCATACACATGTAGCTCAGCCACCAAATACAGAGAAAGACATCTTCCAGGGATGCTTCACATGACCTTGGCGTCTACATACAGCCCCTGCTCCCGGCCCCACGGGGCCCCCGTCTGCTGCCAGGCCACAAGGTCTTTCTGTCCTTGCTTGTCCACCAGAGTGACAGCTCTGAGGGACACCAGACATCGGGGGGTCCTGGATCTGTAGGCACCGTAGAATTCGGATCCTAGCTTAGCCTCCTGTTTTTCTTCTAGTGGGGACTCAACAAATACTTTGGGGATAGAAGAAATGAACTTATGTGGAACATAATTTGAGCGATTTTGTTCCAACTCTTTCTGCTCTGGACCTAATCAGGTGATTTGGGGGTACGGAAGAAGGGCCTAACTTGTCTCCCAGGAGCACTGTGCTGTGCCACCCCCTCAAAAAATGTAGGCCTTTCACTGTTGATCCTCCCCCAAAATACTTCATTTAAAGCAGAGTATCTATGAGTGCATTTTCAAAACTCTTACTACAACTGGAGTGACGAGGTTCCCTGAGAGGCGCTGCCTATGATGGGTTTGCAGGACAACACGCCGAGAGAATCAGGAGGGAAAGATCAGCTTCATTACCTAATTTCCTCTTGTTCTTGTGTCACTGGCCCACCTCCATCTCAAAGTTCCCTGCTTATGAGTGCATTCTGGCTGCCAGCGCCAGGATTTCTCTCTCCAGCACTCCCTGGCTGCCTGCTTTTCCCGCTGAGGGGCTGGATGGCAGCCGCTCCCACTTAGCTTCAGTGAAGCCAGATCTCAGGTGCAGGGTTAAGGTTAATCTCCCGTAAATGGGCAGATCCTCTGAGCTGCAGAGTGCGGGGGTGAAGTGCTGAGCACACTCCTTTCTTTATCGCCATTCTGTACGCATTCGTGAGAAAATCAGGTATTGTCCCATAAAATGTTTTTTTTTGTTGTTGTTTTTTGTTTTTAGTTTTGGGCTTTCTTCCACTTTTTCTCTCCACGTTCACTCATATGCCTCTGAGATGGTAACAGCTTCCCAACGCACAAGCACAAAGTACTCTGCAGTTCTTCCTGATTCTGATCATGGTTAAAATTGGGAGCGGGAACATCCAAACCCCATTTGCTGGCCTGTTTAGAATCTGTTTTCTCCCAGAAGCACATTTCCTTTTACAGTAAACTCAGGCTGTGGGTTTCAGAGTGCAGTCACGCACCACTTACCGACGGGGACCTGTTCTATCATTGATCGAAATGTCACTGTGCTGCACGTGACTGCATCTGATAACTACTGAGTGACACAAATGCTCCCAACAAATACTCACAAAACAAGGTGCTCTTGGTCAGTCCAGGCCCACGGTCATGTGACTTTGATGATTGAGAAACAAGTATGTGTGCCAGTTCAAATCTGCCAGCAGTGTTTAGATTCATGTTAGGGTAAATAAAGACTATTTCCAGAAAGCCAGTTTCAAGAACCTTTTGGTTGTGTCAAAGTAGAACCACTTTAGATTCTGGCTCGAAGGCAGTGGAGATCCAAGCTGCTCTTATCAGAAGCCTGAAGGTCGTCTTTATCGTGAGTAAAGAACATCTTTGCAAATTACGATGCTTTGACGGGAAGGTGAACCTGAGGCTGGGTTTTAAACACAAACTAATTTTCTCTCTTTCTGAGTACAAGAGAGGGTCTGAACTCCCATAAGGGAAAAACAGTCCAAGATTCTCCTGTGGGCAGCGCTGGTGGTGAGCAGGGTCAAGAGAATGGAGATCGGTGGGCTCTGTGGATGACCATGGCTGTGAACTTGGGGCAGAGCGGTATACTATCCATGTCCAGTTCTCTCATCCTTTGCTGCAGTCTCCTCCTACTCTCCTCAGGCATCCAAGTGAGTTTTGTAAACTGGTCTCAGCTGTGATTAGGAGGCTAATGGAAGGGTCTGTGGCAACGTTTGGGGGGACAGTTATGGGCAGCAGAATGGCAGTCTGGAACAGCTGGCTGAGGGAAAGAGCCAGGAGAGGTCCAGGGAAGATGGCAGAAGAGGTGAAACACAGCAGCCAGGATGGTGTAAGAATTGCTCAAGGATGATCTCAGCAATACTTGGGGAGGGAAACTCGTCAAAGATTGAGCGTTCCACTTATGACCACGGTCAGAGGATGTGCTCTTCTCTGGGTATTAAATGGGACTGTGACCTCTGAAGCTTGGAGAACTTGAGAACATCTGGTCTATACTCAAGAATGACAGCTCTTTAAATAAGACAGCCATGTTTCTGATCCTTGTCATAGCCACTGGCTCTGTTATTCCTAGCCTTCCCACCCATCTCCTCTGACTCCTGTGATGTTTCCACAAACCACTTCACATTTTGAACAAAGAAGATAATCTGAACTTTTCAGTGACGTTTATATCTGATCTTGTCATTCTTCCTACGATTCATGTAAAAAACCAAAGAAATATTCCCAAGTCCCAATTAACATACCATTATATTAATAGTACACAATATTCAGTTATAATAAACATCTAAAGATAGTAAGATAAAAATCTAAAGGTAATTTGGTGTCTGTTTAACTTACACATGGCTTCCTTCCTTAACCTAAATTATTTTATCACCATTTTGTTCCCTGTTGAGATATAGCTATGCTCTGAAAATATACCGCAACTGAAGCTAGCTAGTCAAGGAAACTTACTTTCTATTGGAACTCCATTTGATAACCAGCTAATTCTGGGTTTGGGGTTGCCGTTAGCTCTGCAGATTAGGGCCCCATCCTCTCCCGGGGACAGCACAAGATTTTGAGGTGCCATGATCCAGTATGGAGCCGCTTTATTGAAGAAAGAAAAAAAAATTGAATCAAATAAGTATTTTAGCAAATTTAGTATACTGAACTATTTTAAGAATAAAAGTATTTTACAAAACATTTGTTAGCTTAATTTTCTAGAGTGAAGACATTTATAAGTGATGCTTCAAAGAATCCTTCAGATTTTCAAAAGAATGTTTAAAGCAACTCACTGACACCTATGCATTATTTTTAGACTTTTTTGATACAAATACCATCTCATTTTACATTAAATTAATCAGACATCAAAGAGGTGACAGATTTATCTAAGGTTGTAGTGCAATTTACAGGTAAGGATAGGGCTAAAACACATGAATTTAAATATGAGCCCCATAGAATATATGTAATTATAAAATTAGGAAGCAATTTAAAAATCTTTGCATTTTTGCAAAGTTGCAAAGTTAGTGTACAAGTACAGTGTTCCCACAAGCCCTTCACCCAGCTTTCTCTATTAACACCTTATGTAACCATGGCACAGTTATCAAAACAAGAAATTAACATTGGTACAGCACCATTAACTACACTACAAACTTCACTATGTCTCCCCAGCTTTTCCACTAATGTCTTATTTCTGTCCCCGGACCTTGTCCCGGACACCACATTGCGCTTATTTGTCACATCTCCTTACTTTGTTTCCTCCAATCTGACAGTTTCTTGGTCTCTCAGTGTCTTTTACGACCTTGCGACTTTTAAAGAATACGGATCAGTTATTTCATAGAACATCTTTCAACTTGGGTTTGTCTGTTTTTTCAGGATTAAACTGAGGCCTGGGGTGATGGGCCCTCTGATTACATCATATAGGGTGTACATGATATCAACATGACTTATTACTGGTTGTGTTAATCTTGATCACTTGGTGAAGGTGATGCTTGCTAGGCTTATCCACTGTAAAGTTACTATTTCTCTGCTTCCCACACTCCATGAGAAGTGAGTCACTAAGTCCAGCCCACACTCAAGGGTAGGGAAAGTAAGCCCCACCTCCTTAAGGGAGGAGTAGTAAAAAAATGTGTACCCATATGTTAAAACCACCTCAGTGATTAAGTTGTTGTTGTTTTTTTTTTTGGTGGGGGAGAAGAAATACTTTGAGGCTATGCAAATATCCTGTTTCTCTTTACATTTTCATCCACTAACTTTAGCATTCATCACTGGTTCTTGCCTGCAGCAGTTATAACTGTGGGATTCTAATGGTGATTTTCTCTTTCCCTCATTCTTTCTACATTTATTAATTGGGATTCTTCTGTAAGGAAGATTTGAGGGAGTGACTTTTTAACCTGATTTAGATAAACTATAAATGGTAATGAGAAGAGATTCAAGGTACCATGAATGTTGACATAAACTTACATTTACTATTATTGAAAAATACCAAAGACATACTAATTCAAGATTTAGGGCTACTCAGGAAGGCAAGAGCAATGCATTTTAAATAATGGCATACCTTTAACTGTGACAGAAATGGTATGATGGATTGCTCCTAATGCATTTTTTGCAATACATTGGTAATTTCCAGAGTCTGCTTCTGAAACCTGAGTGATCTGCAGAGTTTTCTGAAAATTCCTATAAAATGTTCGGTTGATGGGAAGTGTTCCATCTTCTTTTATCCAGTATATAACGGGGGTAGGCCTGATAAAATAAATAAATAATGATGTTACAAAAAAATAAGTTTACCTAACTTTTTTTTGAGGATGAATTTTCCTGCAAGTTTATAACAAATTCGTTATATAAAGATCATGAGAAATACATAGATACTTCAACTACCATCACAGTTTTATAAATAATGCTCAAAACCTTATATTTAAGGCTGTAAGCTACCATTACACATAAGCAGAACTAATATACTAATTTATGGCACATCATAAACTTTGACTTCAGTGATGCAATGAGAATGCTAGCATGAGTTACCTTACTGAATGGACCTAATTATTTTCTTCAAAGTCCTGATCAATGAGGCACTCCTGGAAAATTTTACATGAAGGTACTATGTCAATCAAAAGAATTACCATGGAATTAATGATATCAAGTTATAATTTTTTATCAGCTAGGTTTTAAAATGCACAGAGAAAGAGATGATATACATATTTGTGCCCATGAACTTTTACACACATTTCCATATCAAATGAGCAACTTTTCTATTTCATAGCAGGTTATCTGATGATGTAAATGAAGTGATGAGAGAAATAGTATTCTTTTCTTAATTTCATTATTAGTGATATTTTAAAATGTTATACAATTGATAAGAATAGATCAAACGCATGGATTACTTACACTATCTCTCACCTGTGTTTCTTACTAAATTATGAAATATAGGGACAGAAGAAAAACCATAACACAGACTTGGAGCTAAAAGATCTGCTTCCAAGTCCTAGCCATGTCCCTAAATTGCTCTGACCTTGGATTCCTGACCAATTTGAGCCTCAGTTTCCTTAGTTGTCTTAATGGGGATGATAATGCTTGACTTGATTAAGTAGCTTTAGAAGGTTTTCATGAGGATTAAATAAAAATCCATTTGACACAAACATTTACTTATCACTGAATTATAGACCAAGCACTGAGTTGCGTGTTGGGAAGATAAAGACGAAAAAGAGTGGTCAAAGCCCTCAAGAATATCACAATATTTGTAATTAGAAAAGCAAGTGGGATTAATTGATGGTTTTCAGAATTGATTTTGGCTTATTTGGTTGAATAAAAGTAATTGAACATATATATATATATATATATATATATATATACATAACATATATCTATATATAAAACATATATATCTATATATAAAACATATATATATAAAACATATATATATATTTGATGAAATGACTTCTAAAATAAGATGCTGTCAACATAGAAAATGTAAAATCATTTTAAAAAGTTGAAGATACTACACACATGTAGCATACTATGGCGTTTCCTTATAGTCAGATTAATCTGCATCTCATATGGTCTGGAGACGAGAGGGTGATGCGGATAAAAGCATGAGGCCATACCTTCACCAACCCAGGAATTGTTCTTGATGCCCAGTACTCCACTGAGCAGGTGCTAAGAATTAGAAATATTTTGATTCTATGAGTCTTACACTTGTCATTTGTAAGTGCTATCTTTCTTTGTTTTATAACATTCCAACATTTAAAAAAATTTTTGTACGTTTTATGAAATTTCCAAATACTGACCATATTCTAGTTTTTTTATATAATATATCATTGTGGGAAGGGGAAATCACTAAATTGTGAGAATGGGTACCTCTACTTCCAAAAGGTTGAAGGTTGGTAGAGTAACCCACTTTCTAACACAATGATGATGAAAATTGCAAGGGTTTTGTTTTTTGTTTTTAATTCTGGTGGGAAAGATATATACTTAATATATCTTTAAGAGGGTTTTTGTTTTTTGTTTTTCTAGTTTTCAGTTGCTTGAGGAACTGGAGTGTGTAGTGTGATTTCGTGACATGGCCAGAAGAGGTTTCCACATGTCTCCTGCAGTAAAGTTAACTCCTGGAGGCTGATTCTGTGAAGGAATGTGAGACGATGGAGTTAGCAGGTCAAGGAGAGCACAGGTCATGACCTGTGATCACAGCATGTTTCTGAGGTTCTAGCAAATGTTTGCAGCAAATGTGCCCATACCGATAGTGCTTGTTCTGTGCCAGGCATAAGAGGAGACTATGCAGAAGCTTGCCTCTAATGTGTACCCAATGAAACAGTTTTTCTTGTATCTGAGCGAGGAAGACTTCCCTGCAACTCCTGTCAAGGGCCCATGGGTTCTGGGGTGGCATCAATTTTGAGGTGCGATTAGATGAGACATTTGCAAAGAAGCTGGGCTCGTGACTTCCCAATAGGAAGTAGTGGAAGGGACAGTGTGACAGTTCCAACGCAGGTCCTAAGAGGTCACATGTGCTTCTGTTGTTAGGAAAATAAGCCTGGGCTAGACTGCTGGAGGGATGTGAGAAACTCAAGGCCAAGAGCTCAGCGATCCTCCATTCGATCAGCCGCAGACCCTCAGAATTGCGAACCGTAACTGAGCCACCTAGCAGACCTCTAAGCTGGCTCAACCGAAATCAGCCACACCTACACCATTATAACACAACTTCCCTGCAGACCTGCAGACAAATGATCAATGATAAGTAGCTATTGCCAATAAGCCACTAAATTTTGAAGTGGTTTGTTACACACAGTAGCAAAACTATAATTATAGCAGTCATAAGGTCATTACTGATATTTACTTCAAGAGAAACACTATTATACTATCAAATATTTTAATAATATGAGAGTCATATGACCTATTTTAGAAATAATTATCAGATTTCTCTTGATGCAAGACATGACTCTTCCTGTGATATTAATACTTCTCTACCAATTTATTATTTTTATAAGAAATGTACATCAAGACAGAAAGTGTTAACTCACAGTCCTTCTGCAATGCACTCTAGGGAAAGGACATTTCCTCTTAATTCCTCTTTGTTACTTGTGTTACCTTCTGGAGTTAAAAATGTTGGTGGCCTCTCTCTATTTGATTTAGCTGCAAAGGAGAAAATCAATATGCATTAGAAGTTATGAATATGTATTTCTAGAAACATAGTCACTGTCTAAAAAATCTAATCCCTTTTGAAACCATTTAACATTGTGGAATTTGTTGAACTACAACTGCATACTCTCTGCCTTACAAATAGCAGTTGCTCACTCGGCCAGAAAAAGAAACAATTCTGGTTGCAAGAGCACTAATAGTAAGGACTATTTTCCTTTTGCACATTTCTTTAATGTGGGTTACATTTTTATGAATTTTTTGTAGTTAGGCAAATTTTCAAAATGTAGACATGGAAAGAAAAATCATGTTCTCAAACTATCTGTCATTTAAAGTTAGTGCTCAGGTCAAAGCAAAAATTAACTGTCTACCTTTTGGAAGATGCCAGATTTTTCTGAAAAGTACAATAATGGAAGGTGTATTAAGGTTTACACTAGGGATGATATTATAGTCAGTTCCACTGATTAACCATGGAGAGAAATCTGTAGTGGACATCTAGAATACCAAAACCCCCAAACTGCAAACAAAACTAGCAAGTCACTGACAGAGGTCTGGCAAATTGTGTCATAAATTAAGAATAGAAATTGAAATTGGTTTCCTCAGTGAAAAAATAAAGAGGGCTGAAGTCAGAGATCTCAGGGAGATTTACACAGGCCACCTTCTTTTTTATGGAGACGTTGCCTAAATGTGACCTTATCTTCTGACGGCCTCTCAGAAAAACTTAAAGTAGAAATCATACTATATTAAGGTTCTATAGGTCTTTACAATTTTGAATACTTTAATGCATTAACTATTCGATGCTCACAAAAAAATAATGAAAGGTAATATATCAATTATTCTCATTTCTCAGAAGAAAAAACTGAATACCAGAGACGGTATTACTTGAAAAAAATTAGAGTTTTCCTAAGATTTTAGAGATAGTAGAGGAAACCTTACCCCTCTGAAATCGCTTTGGGAATGGTTTTGAGGCCTATATTTTTCAGTAGTATATTAAAGTGAAATAAAGTAAGACAGGAGTTGTGGCATGTCTACTCTGGTCGTGGATAATACCTTGATGTTTTTTACTTCATATCTCAAAGGCAAAAAATTAATAAGATAATTAAGAAGACCCCATATCTAGAACCCATAATTTTCATTGATTGACTATGTACCTGACAGCCATACTTCCCTTAAGGAAATCAAATTCTTTTCTTTTTAAAAGAATGAAGTTAAATGCTCTATTTTAAAAAAAATTACTGCCACTCAAGATAGTGACTGGATTTGAAGCAAAACTAAGAGAAATACTACTGCTAATTACGTGATATTGATGATGTCATATGAAAACAGATGGGAAATGTGATGACTTACTATCAAAATCCACTTAATTTGAGTTGTTAAAAGTTACTAAGACTTTGATGAGTTGGTATTCTAACAGGTTAATGCAGCCTGCCAATACTTATATTTAGTTCAAGAGAAAAATGTATGAACAAGACAAAAAATGAAAAATATAATCCTGAATATACATGAAAGATTTTTTTCCAAATCATGTGAAATGGTTATTTACATGAAAACAGCTACAATAATTTTAATTATTATACATACAACATGGAACATGTTTTAGTGACATGTTTGCAAGCTTATAAATTTCAGAAGAAACACACATTTATTCTGGTGGTACTAAACATGTAACTAAAAATTTCATTAAAAAAATAAGGTTAAATAGCCATGGAGGTGAAGTTAGTGAACTAAATTCTACAATGAAGGAGAGGATATCAATTACAATCACCATAACTCACCACCATAAAACTCAGTGTCACTCAAATTAGCTGCTATAGTGTCATTCAATTCATCCACTGAAATAAACAAAATATTATGAAGAAAGTAAAAAGTAGGGGAGAAGGTATTGTAAAAAAAAATATTGGGCAACAAAAGCAAACGTACACAGCTACACTAACCAAGTGCCATCCCTACCACCTAAAACCAGTGCTTTACATTGTAGGTGACTAACTCGTTAATTCACTCGGCCACCCCCAACCAGTAATATGTGACCGTATAACCGAAGCTGCAGGACTGCCAGGTAAAGGCAGCGCGGGGCATACAGCACGCGCAAATGCTCAGAACTCCCACTAGATTCAGAAAGTTACCAGGGAAACAGTAATGGTAATGACAGCAAAAGATCTAAAATACAGTATTCAGGTGTGTGCTCTTCAGTCACTATTCACAGGTAGTTAATATATTTTGCACATACTTGTAAACATCATTGAAAGAGAGATTCAGGAAGCTATACTCTTACCTGAAATCACCTTCACAGAAATTGGTTGCTTCTGCTGTATGGTTTGAGTGTGATTAAATCTGGCATAACAGATATAGTCTTCACGGGTGTCCTCTGGGAGAACGTTAGAAAAATAAAGGTCTCCATTCAGACCCTGGGAAACCCTCTCACTTTGTGGGAGTCTTTGAAAGGCTGGAAAAAGGCAGAGAGATATCCAGATCATTCCACCATAAAGTGGTCACTTTCTTAATTAGCAAGATAAAGTTATCTACTAATAGTTCTGTGAATTTCACTTGACATTTTTTTTATCTGTAAAGCTCTCTGAGTAAAAGCAAATAACTGTAAACAACAAAAACAACGACAAAATGACATTACAACTCCAGTGATACCTGCCTGACTAATTTCTCTGGAGTGGGGCAGAGGTGAGATTAGAGTTGTACAAGTGAAGTGTTTTATTAAGCAAGTATAAGCCAAAACATGTTTTACCAAAAGAGTTTACATGACTTTTCCTAATATTTAAATTAGTCCTTAATTATTAAGCACATATACACACATGCCTTAGAAAATACCATATTTTGCCATATATGCGCTCCCGTGTATAATGCGCACCCATGTTTTTGGCCCAAACTTTCAGGGGAAAAATATTGTTTTACTTTTTTAATTCAAATATTTATTTGTTTACATTTAGTACTTGTTTTTTGCATTATAAAGGAATTTTTGCATTTATTTTTTAACATATTATGGTATAAGAAATTTTATGTATCAAATAATTACAAAACACAAGAACAGATAGAAGGTACAAGAAATTTTATGTACTGGTAACAAATTTACAATATTTACGTATCATAGAAGGCAAAGAACTCTTTGTTGTCGTGTCGTTGCAAATTTGTCATAAGTTCAACAAAACCGTTATCGTATTCCCAGGTACTATTTTGCATATGGATATCGTTATTGATTTCTAGAGTTACACTTTTAACTCATAAGCATTGATAAATTAATTGAAAACATTTATATAGATACAGAATTAGTACTACTCATGTATAATCACATCCTTATTTTCCCTCACAAATTTGGGCAAAAGAGTGTGCATTATACATGGCAAAATACAGTACATTAAGGAAGTCAGGATGTGAACTTGGGTTGCACCTGCATACACAGTCGGACACCAAATACTGTGATAGCACCTGTGAGCTAGGCCCTGGGCAAGGTGCGGGTACACTAGGGTCCCTGCCCTGTCTGAGCTTGGGATCTAAGTGAAGAATCAGGCAGCAGATGTACAATGAACAATAGGGTGCAATGATGGCACTATTTAATGCTGCAGACATGCCACTCAGAGGCCATCCCCTCCGTTACCCAGCCTTCCTCACCTCCTCTAGCGTTTCTTTTCTGAGTTACTTATCACCTTCTAACATACAACATATTTCACTTGTCATATGTTTGGCTTATTGCCTGTCTCCTGTGCTAATTTAAGTTCCAGGAGAACAGACACTGTCGTCTACTGCTGCAGCCCTGAGACTGCACCAAGCCCTTCACAGAGGCTGTCATTAAATGAGTAACTGTCGGCACTCTGACTTCCCAGCTTCTGGTTTATCAGGTCCAGTTAAGGAACTGTCTAGCCTCAGGAGGAAAATTTTTCTAAGTAGATGAAGGACGCAGGGAGGTGGGACCACTTATCTACATATAAATTTACAATTGGCTGGCTAACGGGCAAATGGAGCTTCTAATTCAGTTCACAGAGCCATCACTGGGAGAATTCTTCAGCTCTGAAGTGAGGGAACTAGGAAAGACTGCACATCCCAGGTGCCTCGGGTCAGGGTGTGTCAGAGCAGAGGATTTCACCAGTCTAGTCGCAGCTGTGCTCCTCCTGCGCAGGCACCCCTTCTAACATGTCATGAAAGGCTAAGTTATGGTTAAAATCTGCAGCTCCCTTGGGCAGGAAAAGGCAGGGAAATGTGGAGCTACAGCTTGCAAGAACGCAATGCAATATACAGATGGTGTATTATAGAAATGCACATTTGAACCCTATATAATTTTACTAGCCAATGTTACCCCAATAAATTTAATAATAATAATAAAAAGGCATGTTGGTTAGCCATGTTGGTCAAGATGGTGATTTGGCTAGTGGTTATAAATTCATGGGTTTGAATTGTTAATCCGTAGGGAAAGGATTATTTTAAAAATAACTCAGAAAAAATATGTACATTTATTTAGTGAATAGAAAGAGTCAAAGATAAGCATACATTTATTCTCTTCAGTTTCTCCGGCTGTATTTTATTATAGATGGGTGCTGGTAGATCAAATTAAAGTGCCCATTGAGTTCCTTCGCATTACGTTTGAAAAAAAAATGTATGCAGATAGGAATAAGTTGATAATGTCATCTCGCAAGAAGAATACTATACAGATCTGAATTTTTTCATATATTCCAGATGCTATCTCATTTGAAAGATCCAGATGCTATGCCAACAGCCTAAAATGTATGTAAATGACGTAGCCAGCAGTATAATATGGAAAAAAATTAGTTACATATTCAGATGACCCTGAGACTTTACATGTATATTCTCTTCATTAAGCGAAAAGGTCATCATTTCTGAATAAGAATCAAGGACCAGAATATGGGCCTCATTTTGGCAATGACATTTAGATACTGTTATTCTTCATGTCATACACCACTCATTTACATTTGATTTATTACTTATTCTTTGAAAATCCGTAAAAGGTGTAATGTAATAATAGGAAAAATACATTTCCTCATGTATATATTTATTTTCCATTTCTTTGTGACACTTTCTCTGAGTGCTTTCAAATCAGAAGAGTCAAAAATGAAAATTATGTTAGAGCAAACTTTTATCTTTGGCCCACTCAGTCTGCCGCACTGGCCTCCCTCTCTTACACACACCGGGTGCTCCTGCCTTAGGGACTCGCACGTTTTCCCTTCACATCCAGAGATTTAGGGACCTGCCTTGCTCGGTCATTCCTTTAAGCCTCTGCTAAAAACTGTTCTTATTTTTCTTCACGGTACTTATTACCAAGCGACATGTATTTTCTAAATGCATTTATTGTCTGCTTCCTTCTCCACCCCATGTATTCCCACTGCATAAAATGTCAGCTCAGTGAGAGCAGAAAATGTGGTTTAAAATTGAGTGAGTGAATGAGATGACGTGCTATTTATTTCAATGAGCATTTATTTTCCTGAATATCTCTAAAACATTTTATAAACATTTTATAAATCACAAGAGCTAATAATTTATCATGATAACAAATAAGACTCTTAAAGAAAGAAAATTCATATTTTTAAAACTTACAGTTATCCATCCAGAATATTATAGGTGGTGGTAATCCCACTGGGGGTCTGCAGGGAAGTACCAAGGGCTGGCCATTTTGAAGTATTATTGGTTCAAGTTTTTCTTTGGTCCACAATGGTGACCCTAGAAAAAAATAGTAACTCCCCTTATTTCTACATTTAAAAAGAAAAGGAGCACTAGAAAGAAAGACAAACTAAACTTTTGGGGAAATAGTAACTTGGGATTTATGTACATTAAGATAATAAGAAAATGATTTTTAAATACAGTGATAAAAGTTTTAAAAAAATGACAATTTTCATTTACTGCCATTAAGACTATAAATTCTGAGTCAGTGATTCCAAGCATAAGAACTTATATTAATTGAATCATTAAGATACATAATTTCTCTACAAGCATGTTCTCCACAAAAGAATAGAAAACATGTAAATATAAGATTTGTTAAATAACTGTACACCTACACCTTTGAATATCATACAGTATATTATATAAGTATACTTATGAGAGTGACATGAGAATATACATTATCATAGGTAAGTCAAAGAAGGTTATAAAATAGTACTTCAGAAGAACTCGTTTTAAACAAAATATATGTGTCTAGAAAAAGTTGGAAAGAGCAGTAGTTATTTACTTGAATGCAATGATACAATTTTTAAATTTCTTTTTCATTTGTAATTAATTTTTTATATAATGAACACATATTACACATATAATTCAAAAAGCTTTAAAAATGACCAGAACTGAAAATGGTCACTTTTCTTTAAATACATGCTCTTGGGGTGTTGAGAGGGTTTGGGTAAGGGACCACTGCACAAAAGAGCCACAAAGTATCAAGGGAGCCAGGCCACTCTATTTCTAGTGAAATTTTGAAACAAAAATGTTTAAAAAAAATAAGACTTAGACCCAGTTACCCATTTCATACTGAATTTATTTCCATCTGGCAGTAGGAAGTTTGCTTGTACATAAAGTACATGAGAAAATAATTAGATCAATCTGAAGAAGACACATTTTTCTTACTCCTAGTGTTTTAGTCTGGACTTACAAGTGCATAAAAGACATTTTGTCTTGACAAAGCACTAGGCTGAGGAACTTAGGGTAAAGTGGAAAGGAGCAATAATTTTTATGCAAAACAAAGTTGGAGTATTGGAATCAATGCCATTATTTTCTTGTAATGGTATTTGGATGATGTAACAGATGCTGTCTCGGAGCCACACTTTAAAAAGGTCCAACTGTTGGGTGGACAGTCCCACTTACTGGATGGACGGATGACAATGTTATTAGAAATGGCAGCTCCCCGTTCATTCCTGGCTGTACACTGATAGTCTCCTTCATAGGTCTCTGCTTTCCCTTCACTCATGATGTTAATGATGAGGGTTCCTGAGTCAGGCTTCATGGTGACAAGCGGGTCTTTATCTATGTCAAAATGAGTCCCATTTTGGGTCCAGGAGAAGCTGCCCAACACATAAAAGATTAAGTTTGTTCATGGTCCAGAAAAACAGAATTACTCTTTAACAAGTTCCCAGCAGTTTATGGGTTTCCAGAAATAATTATTAGATTTTAATATTCAGTAAAAGAGCAATCGGCTCCTGACCTAAAATGTTTCATTGAATCATGATTTAGAAAAAGTGCTGGCCACACATCTTAAGGTATTCATTGGAACTAGCTGAAATTTGACTCAATAAAGAAATCATGCACACAAATTACCTGTCATTTTTCAAAGAAAAGACAGGAAGTAGGTCTCTTAGGCACTCTCTTAGAACTTCATTAGCATTTTTATTATAAACTCCATTGTTCATAGGGTTAATAACCTATCTACAAAAAACTTGCTCTGGGCTGAAATGTGACAAAAAAGGCCTTCATGAGTGATCAGACAAGGTTCACGTTACCAAAATGCAAAGTGCAGGTCAGGAGGAGGGGAAGAAATATGAGTTCAGTGGTGTTTTAAATGCTGGTTATTAAAAGTGGTGATTATATATATATATATATATATATATATATATATATGTTGAGAATTTTTCATTCTAAAGGTCATTTTGTAAATTCCTTAGGAAATATTTCAAATTGTCAACTGACAATTTCTCAGTTTTATCTCTATAAAAGATTCTGCTATATAGAAGTCACAGTGCTCATGTAATTAAAGACTTGATAACTAGTCACAAATAAAAAATGGCTACCCTCACACAAAGGCATGACTCTCTAAGCTTCACTATGGTTGTACTTGTAGCAGTGTTGTCACAACTGCTAGGGCGCGAGTTGGTGTTGGTGGGTGCTCCTGGAATATGCTAGGTACTGGCCAGGGATGTTGTTAAATACCCTCCAATGCACAAGACAGCCCCCATCCCCTCAACAAAAAGTTATCTGGCCCACAGTATCAATAGTGTCCAGAGGGAGAAATCCCGCCTTACACACAGTTACAGGAGGTATTCAGTAAATGTGAAACTGAAGGGGGATTTTATCACATGACATCACATTAGGGCTTGAGTGCTACACGGTTTCTAATAATACAGCAGAGTACATTGTTTTGAAGCAAATGTTTGATGAAAGTTTTTGATGTACTTAAGTATTTAGTACCAGTTAACTTTTTCTGAGGTGTCAGTCTGTAATAGTTTGGTAAGACCAGTAATAGACAAACTTAGAAAAAAAAATGTTTAGAAACTTTCACTTCTTTATTACTTAAAAATCCACATTGCATTTTAATAATAATCCAACTCTCCAAACTCCTATATATTACTGGACAAGTTACAGATCATCCACTAATTAGCTGTGGGACCCTGGACAAGTTACCTAGCACTACTAGCTTCAGTTTCCCATCTATAAAATATATGGGTCTCTAATATCTCTCCCAAGTCTAGAATGCCATGCAGTGTTCATGCCAAGATCCTTTTGGGGAATCCTGAGTTCTGAACGCTGCCATGTTTGGAACCCCACTTAGGGCCATTTTCCAGACCTCTCTAGAGATAGGAGAAATCTTAGAAGTCATCAAATTCAACTTCCTTACTTTACTCAGAAGAAGAAACTGAGGCCCAGAGAAAAGAGATTTGCCCAAGTTATAAGGCCTTTAGAGCCAGGAGCAGGCTTGTTCCATATCTCCCCACAGTTTCTGAGCATTTCACAGAAGGATATGAGTACAATCTTTTGGGTTTTCAAGAAGAACAAGCTGACTTTAATTAAGCAGAAAGACACAATAATGAACCTATAAATGATACTTTCAGGATGTGCAGGACCTGAAATTAACTCAATATTAATATCAATGCCTAATTTCAGTTGTAACAGAGCGGAAAGTACACCCACCTTGGAGGAGGTTTCCCTTTGGCCTCACACTGGATTACAATATTCTCCCGAGGGTCAATAATGTAATCTTTTGGAGACTGTTGAGTAATGGTTGGAGGTTGTACCACTTAATTGTAGAAAGAAGAACAATGTAAAGAAATATATCATTTAATATCATAATAGCAACATTTTTTTCTATACCAACATCACTTACCCTAGACTAAATAGGCTCCCAACGTTTTTAGTCATTTCTACGGTGGCAACACATAACTCAGTCAATTTTTAACTAACAGTCTCCTAAAACTTTGAAGTCAAGCCATAGCTTCCTTTCGGTAGCTTTGTATATACTCTCAAAGTCCATTTTCCCCCACGAAAGTTTGGGAAAATAATTACCAGCACAAACTTACTAGTAAGACAGCTTCTTTTCTGATGTAACAATGAGAAATTCCCTTGAGCCCTTTGGTTCAAGTGACGCCTTTCAATGAAATTTAAGTTATGAGGTAAATTTGTGTTTCTTAGGAGAGAGTAACTGATTTATAGTTCATTAGTGTGCTAATATAAATTAATATATGTTGGGAACAAATAAATTTGAGAAATTAATGTTGCAAAGATGGTTAAATTAGAGACTTGACATGTCTTATTAGAGCCAGCAGGAAGGCGGCTACTAGGAACAAAGATAAAGATCTTATTTAGAAGATAAATGGATTGGGGGAGTTCTCTCTGTTATAGGTGACAGTATTTTCATTTCACTCTTCACCGTGTTAGCTGATCATTTATTATCAGATCATAGGGGGAAACCCTCTGACCAAGAACAATTTAATCTGAAGAAAGCTGGTATCTGGCTGGCCAGTGCTCAAGTCACTTGAAGAGTGCCAGGTCCTTCTTGTGAAATTGGAATCACAGAGCATTAGAACAGGAAAGGACTGGAGCAATAACCTATTTCAAGTTCCTTTGTTGCTCAAGCAGCAACTGGGCTTGATTAGGGAGACACAAAACAGAGGAAAGAACCAAACTGTGCTGGCAGAAGCCACTGCCTTGCATACGTCCAGGGAGAGCCCTTTACACACACCAGTGGTTCTCAGCCAGGTGCAATTTGCCTCCACCCCTCAGGGGACATTTGGCCACACCTGGAGACAATTTTGGTTGTCACTACTGGAGGCCAGTGTGTGTGTGTGTGTGTGTGTGTGTGTGTGTGTGTGTGTGTGTGTGTGTAGTGTTGTACTAGCATCTGGTGGGTAGAGGACAGGGATGCTGCTAAACATCTTACAGCATACAAGACAGTACCCCTGGAACAAGACTTATGTGAGCCCAATATCAGTGGTGCTGAGGCTGAGAAACCTGGACCACGACGGGGATGGTACCCCCAGAGATGTATAATGCAGTGCCCCCCCCCCCTCAGCATGCCTTCCTCTCATAGTGAAGCTTTTCCAAGGCGCTCTCTCAGACTCACAGCCTTCTTTCCTTTCCTGTTGCATTTGATCCTCTGGATCATCGAAACTTTTCATAGTCTAGATCTTCCCTTTCTTCTCTGCCCATGCTCTCTGCTTCCTTTGTGAAACTCCTTCCACCTGCCCACCAAGTATTTCCCCAGGCTTAATAATTGCCCTCAGCTCTTTCTTTACTTTGGTGAATTGTTGTAGGAGCTAAATTTATCACGTCCATGTCCAGTGTCTTATACATCTGCAAACATGGCTCTCTCCTCTTGTTCTGTCTCCAGACATCCTTTACTACACATCCTAATGACAACTAAAATACAGATCAAAAGCTTAACCCACCATTGTCATCATTTATTGTGCACCTGTTAAATTCAGGTTACGGTACAGTAGCAATTTCCTCTCTCTTCAGCAAGATCCACCCCCCCCAATAATCCAGCTGTTCTTCTCGGCCTCCACCATCACCCAGAACCCTCATTCTTCCAGCCCCGTCAGTTCCCAATGCTGGTTGGCAGTTTGGTCTGGTGGCTAAGAACTAATCTGTTCTTTTCTTACCAGCTGTGACACTTTCAGCAAGTTTCTTAACTTCCATAAGACCTAGTTTCCTGAGAGAGAAAATGGGGTATAAAGTAGTGTCTAACTCCTAGAGTCACTCACAGAATTAAATAGTTTGTGTAAAAGTCTTAGGACGTGACAATCCTATCATGGTTGTGATGTCAGCTATGTTGACATAATTATCATAGTCATTTTTATTTGGACCAGCTTCACCTTTGAGTGATGCTTTAGGCTCTGAGAGAATAGAGTTCAGGGTGACAGAAAGAAGCCTGGAATTTCACACCTAGGGAATGGTGGGCATAGATGTTGGGGGAGGGAATTCTTGGGAGTGGCTCAGCCCAATTCCTTGTGCTTTTATGCAAGAAACAAAAGGTGCAAGTCTGGTGGTTTCAGACCCAGAAATCTCTCTTCATGCGTCTGCACCAGAGCTGACTGACTTAGCTGCCACCCCTAACTGCCAGGGGTTTACAGTCTCGACGTACCTGTTTGAACAGTGCTTAAGTCACCTGGCAACTAACAGATGCTTTGAAGTGATAAGGAAAAGAGGTGACTTGACATAATTTTCCTGGTTAATCCAATATCAAAGGGTGTTACAAATGTTTGAAAGCTATTTTTTAGGTAGATGATAGATGCTGTCCAACGGTCAGAGGCCGCAGAAGTTTTTGCTTAGAGCAAGCCACTCAAAATACTGTGTGTGGGGGGCTGTTTATTGCCTTTTCACATTTCAAAACAATAGTCAAATTCTCCAACCCATTAAACTGAAGACACCTGGAAACACCCATCTATACAGTCTGCAAGCTGAAGAAGAAATAAGTGTACACAGAAGCCGACTGGGGTGAAGTGTCTGCAGGCACTCACATTCTAAAAGGTACCAAAAGACATGTCTGTATTCCAGCCAACGTTTAATAGCACTGAGGACCAGAGAGTCATTCTCTTTAAATTCTGTGAATTTTCTCATTGAGTTACATCAGATGTGAATAAAGCACAAAAGTTAGTAGAGCATAATATGGGTAAAAGAAAAATGGAAATACCTGAGTCTTCAGAATCATGCAGGGAATATATTAAACTTGCTTCTTGGTATTTAAATGTTTAGCCACAGTAAATACACATGCTTAAAAAGACATTAGTCACAATACATAAATCTGTGCATTTAATTCACACTATTAATTCAAAAACAAAGACATGAACAAATTTTCACGCTGCCTAGTAATTACAGAAAGACACTTACAGTCATCAAGAAGTTTTGCTTTTCCCCCATCAATATCAGCGGGTGAGAGGGCAAACAGGATTAAAGAAAACCAGATGTTAGCAATAAGAACGTTAGAACCCTGAAGATAAAAGGGGCATCTTGTCTATTTGATTTGACCTCAGAAAACCAGTATAGTGAAGGTTGAAGTTATAAGAGAAAGGAAACTCCCATTCACGGTTTTGCTTATTTCTGCAGCAGCTATCCCACATCGCATATGGAAGAACAAAAGGAATGCTGTAGGCAAAAAATGATCCTTCCAGGAATAATATTGGCTAATTCCATTCCATCGATGTACTGGACAAGTAATTATGTTCAATTTGAAAAGCAGCTGAAATCTACAATTAATTTGAGTTGTCACATACTGTGTACTGTCTGATCCTATTATCTCAGTCAGACATCACTATGCACATGGTAATAACACTTAACAATGGTACATGGCTGCAATGACAGTGTTCCATCAGAGCCAAATCCACTGGTTTTAGGTTTTATATGTCTATGGTTAATCCCCAAGTCAGTAATTGAACTTTGCAGACCGTTAGCATATTTCTGCTTCAGAATTCCTCAGTCACCCTGGGGGTTGCTAGTGCCCCAACCAAGAAGGAGCGAGTGTAGAAGGGGCGTAGGCTCAGAGGCAGGGAGGAAATTACATTAGCATGCGATTCAAATGATTCTGCGGGGCTGCCCGTCACTCTGGTCCTTGCAAAGGTTAATGCAGGAGCGCCTGGGTAGTCTGTGACTCTCTTTTCTTCTTGGTTATGCCTCTTCTCCATTAGCAGGATAATTGAGTTAGCCGTAGGTGACTGTTTCCCTCTGATTGTTAGATTGAACATTTAGATTAAGGGGAGTACATTTAACAGGAGAGAACAAAAGCTTTTCTCTCTTTCCTAAATATCTGTTAGGGCAAATGCTTACTTAAGCAGTCCAACTCCAGTGGGCTTAAGTAGTTGTGGTTATTTTACTTATTTTTTTTAAAATTGAAACTAAGGTCACTGAATGACTATTTTTTGGAAAATAAGTAAAATATTGCATTTGATTGTACTTTAGACTGTAGATGCACAGGACATGAATTCAACAAAGTGTGGGGCAAACCGCATCTCTTCTTAATGTCTTCCCACTGGCAGTTGCAATCTCTTTGGCAAAAAATGACAACCCAACAATTGAATAGCCCCAGGAAAATGCTATCTTCACTGCACTTTGGAAAGCTTGCCAAACAGAGGTTCTACTTGGGAAGCTAGTGGGTTTAAAGAGGTCATGCAGATTAGGGATAAAGGATGTATCAATTCTGAAGTATAGTAATTGTTCAGATTTGAAATTCTGCTTTCCACTTGCAGGAAAAGTGACCAGTTAAAACCCAACATTATCTTTGTTTTACATAAACAGGCCACTCAGACCAGGGAGAGTACAGCATACACTTTACTATTAGGAAAAGTGTGGGCTAATATAGTTTTTACTTGCTCCATTTTAAATAATGTTTTTGTTTTAGTCTCAAAATTAATACCTTGATATTTGATTACATTTTTTTAAATCAAAGAAGACCCCTCACTAGGCTTTAAATAAGGTACATTTTCTAGATCTAAACTCATATTTAAGATACAAAATTCAAAGGAGAATTTTGCCTTCTCTGAATCAAGAGAAATGGATTATGGGTAGTCTGGGGATATAGAGTTGGCATGGGGTTGGCTGAGAGGCCACCCCCAGTCTTTTCCAGAACACTCCCAGCATATGAAGGGAGAGGGTGGAGAAGTGGGAGGGGTAAGTGAGGAGGAGGTCTCCATGATCATTTTAAAGTAATTCATTTGGTTTTCTCACAGGACAGCTTCTACAAAGAGTCACCTGTTGGGAGGATCAGGGCAGCCCACAATTCACTCCTTCTCAGGCTAGCTCCCCCCACCCCCATGGCACACAAAAGGCACCTGAGTGGGGAGAAAGATAATGATAAGGAGGGAACAAAGTGTCTGACTGTTTCAATGGCCACTTCTACTGCGTAATTCTTTTTAAACAGCAGGTGCTGAAGGTAAAAGCCAAATTAATTTTGATTAGCTTTTCAGTATCACACAGACACCTTCTCCATTCACACAGTTCAGAGTGATGGTAAATGCTGCGCAGTTTTCACTCCCAGGCCTAACAGCTTTAAAACGTTAATACTTACGATCAAGAGGTACTTCCAGTGCACTAACCATCTGGCACAGGAAGAGAATCAGGGGCACTCTGCCTGCAGATAAGCGCTTCTTTTTCGGCATTATTTTAAGCTGCATTAGCTTAACTCCTGCTGAGACCCACAAACTGAATTTCCTTTTCTTCTTTCACAAAAGATTTGTGTGCAATGTTTAAATAATTTTCATGCAGGAAACTGAAAAAGGATAGAATAAGAATTATAGTGTATTAAAAAGAAGGAAATGAAGAACAGAAATCTGCAGCACAGGAAATCAGTCCTGTATTATACATGAACTCTAAAAGGGAGCTGATTTTTAAATATTTAACTCTCAGGACTAGAATAATCATTTATTCATAAATCTGCTGAAATCAGGTCAGAAATATTTGTAGTGATGTCAAGCAAACTCTTATCTACTTCGCCATTTTTATGTTTTTTTTCCATTTTAAATATCTGCATTTATATCGAAGGCTGCCATGTTATTCCTAATAGATCACAGAAACTTGGCTTAGAAGTCAGTTAGAAAGTGTGACTTTAGAGGGGAGGCCAAATGGCTTCTCCATTCTAGAGATTATTTTGGGGAAACTTTAGGGCATTGTCGCAAACATGCTTCAAAGCCCAAACACTGATTTACCAGCTGAACCATGACAATTCAGGCCTCCCCATCTCTCACCTGGACTATGTAACAGATACACCTGGGTTCTGCGTTCCAGGCCTTCCTCACCACAGTCACCCTCCTGAACAATGCTGATTTATTTTTCCTAAAGGTTCTTCTTTGTTTAAATATTGGGAATAACCATATGGGATCTACCAAATGAAGTTCAGTAGATCCTTAAACAGGTCATTAAAAAACCCTGAATAATTTGGCCTCAATTTATCCTATCAACTTTATATCCTCCTATTTCCAAATAACTTTTTTTTTTTTTAATTTGATGGTCTGTTTCTGTTTTCCTTTCTTGGGTCAATCCTTCAACATACCTTGAATTTTCCCACCTTCTTAGCTTTATTTATTCTATTCCTTCTCCCTGGAATGTCCTCTCCACCATATCTCCTTATCAAAGTCCAATTTATTTCTTTATAGATCAGTTAAAATTGAAACACTGACTGATCACCCAAACCAGAAGGCATTTCACCTCCTAAGAACTTCTGAAATTCCTTGTTTTAATCATCATATATTTTGTATAGATAAATACAGAGATAAATAGAGGTGTTTTTGTTTGTTTGTTTTTTGTATGCATGCTCTCTCCCTACTCTGTTAGGCAAAGATTGTGCCCCTCCCCCCTCTGTATCCCTCCCCCATCACCTAATCCAGTATGCCTTGCACATTAAAGTGTTCACTGTACACAGGAGAGCATGAGCACAAACACAGGATACAGACCTCTGTCCCACAGTAGACTTATACCTAGAATGATATGTTTAATCATGTCTTCTCATTAATGAAGGGAGGTGGGGGTGACCAGTGGCTCTCTCGAGGAGGTAGGAGGAATGTTATTACTACAAACAAGGGTAGCTCCCACAGCTCAATTACTGAATTGTGTGCTTTTTTATTATTTGTGTAATTATGTATTTTTATAATGCCCACACATTTCCTACTAAACTGAAAGCCTCCTAAAGGTAGGGAATGAATCTTTCCTGTTCCCCATTGTGTCCCCAGAGCACATGGTAGGGAGTTGTAGGAAAAAAATGAAGGGAAGAAAGGGGAAAGAAATGGAGACTTAAGATCTTTGAAGATGAGGTTTTATTCAGATAGGCAGTCTAGTCTGACCACAGTCTACCAAGACCATATTTATATTTATATTTATACTACTTGGTTTAAAGACCAACCTCTTGTCCAAATGATCAAATTAGTTATCATATTATGTCTGTGTGTGGAATAGAGCTTAAATGTATAAAAAAATGAAACAATGCTGGTAACATGTTTTGCTAGCAATTGAGTTCTGATTTGAATCTGATTATAATTGTAGTTAGATACTTCTTGCTAAAAAAATACAAAAAAGAACTACTGTGCTAAATATAGACATTATGCATATGTAAACATTATTTTGTGAATAAAACATCCATACTACGTGGTTTCATTTGAGATCTAGGAAATTTGGCTTTCCATCTATACTATATAAACAATCAAGCCCAATAAACATCAAAAGGCAGATACAGAAGCTCACACAACCATGTCTAACCAAAACAAACCAAACTGTCTTTCTGTGTGTACAAAACATATCTATATCATTTAACCAAATTTACTTAGGTCTCTCATGATTTTCTGTTAAAATTCTGAATTTACACAAAAGCTTCAGGGAAAATAAAAATAACTGGCATAAATGGCACTAAAACAAGCTGACATTACACACTACACATATTGAGAGAAAACTACAGACTCAAACACTGAGAAAACAAATGACATGCTTGCCTGATTTGTGTGTCAAGCTAACCAAGTTTATTCGATTTAATAATAGGCGCTGAATAGGTGCTGGAGAACAAAAACAGTTTCTAGAAGGAGTGCTAATGAATTGTAATGCCTATAAGACCTTAAGCAACTACATACAATTTCTGTATAAGTTCTTCATTTATTACTTGTTTTGCCTGGATGCCTTAACTATTCATCATTCAAAATAGAGAAAACCATTAGACAGCTTCATAGAAAAGAAAGTATCATTTAACCTGCTTTACCTTTTCAGAGTATATATGGAATAAAATATTACACATTAAATCACAGTGTTGTATAAAGAAAACATATTAAGAAAAATTCAGAAAACACTTACTTAAGGAGACATAAGTAAATCCTCACAATGAGAGGAGGCCATGAACTATGATACCTGAAGATGTGGTCTCTTTTCCAAGAAGTTGTAAGTTAACTGCAGCAAAAGCCACAAAATTGTCTCCAGTGTAGGCTCTGTTTGGGGAGGACCAAGCAGTGGCCCAGCCCATCCTCTGCCTCCTGCCCATGGAAAATCACCCACTCCTGCTACAAATGCTGTCATAGGTGAAAAAAACCAAAGCCCAAGGACAGATTAAGTCCCCGGCACTCAGTCCAAGTGAAAATCAAATACAGCTACCGAAAGCTGAGCTTTCTCTCCGTCAGAGTAATGTGCTCTGCACGTCTCCCAAAGCAAAACCACTGCTTCTGCACTCTCAATATTGATATGTGAATGCCCCGCCCTGCCAGAAGTCCATCTGCCTCGTAGTTTACCTTGGAAAATGATGGCCATTCTCTTTTACATAAGAATCATGAACTAAAATGAAATTGTTTATGCAATTACATTGAAATGAATGAAACCTATCTGAAATAGCAGCATGTTTCTTTTAGTCAAGGCTAAAGAGAATATTAGTATGATATAGCTTGTAATTTGCAAAAAATATTTGCTACAGACATTTTAAAGCATGTTTAAATGAGACAAATGGTAGGTTCACCTTTGGAATATAAATCACCCTGTTATTTGAAACCACATATATTGTTAAAATGACCCAAAGTAACAATAAACAATAAAGTCTTTCAATATTTCACTTCAGTTAACTCCATTCAAAGCAAATTTTCACATATTACCCACAGAACCCCAAAATACAGAAGGGAAAAAAATAATCTCCCTTTTTCAACAAACTTTTCATCTGTAGAAAAGACATGCAATTCAATGTTCCCTTATTTCTTTTTGCCTAAAATTCATACTAATTCACAGAGCAAATGTTTCCCTGCATATTTATCATATATATTTTTAAAACCTAAAGTTTTGACAAAGGATTCATATTAAGTCCAAGAAACATAGCTCTTCTTTTGTTCTTCTCATTAGAAAGAAAATAAAATCTTTGTTTTTCTGTCGAGTGAAAGATAAAATTAGTTTAATTTAAATATATATATATAAATATATATATATATATATATATATATATATATATATATATATATATATATATATATATATATATAAGCTCTCTACCAGAGCTGGAAGGCCATGCGTTACTTACCATTTCATTCTAGTCTGTTTGTACTTTCCAGAATTCCAGCATGGACAATTCAATGCTGAATGCACAAAGTAACGTGATTGACTCTCTAAGCCAATAAACGTGGGACTGGATGCCCTTTGGCACAGTAATTATTGCTCTGGTGACTCATCAGTGGCTGGCCTCACTAACTGGATATCTAACTGGATGTGACATCATCTTGACTGTAAAAGGCATTTTTTAGCACTGAACTTGAGGATGGTTACTTTTTATATTTTGTTAAATATTTACCATAAGGAATAAGCGTATTAATGCCCATTCCTAGCCCATACTTTTCCTTTCAATCACAGGTTTTCAGTCTGAGACTATGGAAGGAAGGTTAGAGAGAACAGATGATGACTTCATATAATTTACACATCAACAAAGTTACACGTAAATCTACACAATGACACTACCAGGAATGCATCTCAGAAAAAAACGTGACTACAGAGATTGTAACAGTCACTTTAAATAAAAAGGTAAACTTTATGAAGTTCCTCCTAGTCCAAAGTGATGTCCTATAGGAGAGTATTTACAAGGAACTGGTAGCTAGAACCTGGAGTAGTACCGAAGGAAAGGTGAACAATTAACAGATGTTTTTTACTCAAATAATAAATAACGGAATACATCTTGATAATAACTCAAACCTCCATTCCTCAGAGCACTATAACTAATTAACTTATTTTATATTCATAAAAGCTCCAGTAAATAGGAAAGCAGAAATTATACCCATTTAATAGATGAGAGAGAAAAATCCAGTCAAGATGGCTGTTATTCATGGAGCACCTCCCATGTGCCAGGAACCACACCGAGTCTGCTCCATGCATTAAATCACCGATCTTGCCAGTAACCCCCAAAGGTAAATTCCATTACATTTTCAAATTTACTGATGAGGAAGCTAAGAAGCAGGATGGTGAAGTCATCTGCCTAAGGACACACACATGGTATGTGGAATGCCAGGTCTAGAGCTCCAGTTCTTTGGAAATGTTCTGCAGCTTTCAGCCATTTTACATTGTCACATCCTGAGAAGCCCTTAGCATTTTCCCCCTTCTGTGTCCTCTTATTTTGCACTTAGCCAAATAGTAAACAGACCAGCCAAATTTGGTCACTGATGTTATAAAAGGCGCGAGTGGTGTTTATATATCTACAGAGATTTTTATGGTGTCCATAGCACAAGTTGAGGGGTCTCTTGGCACTGGAGTCCATGGGAATTGTGCCAGCTGGAA